ATAAAATGAACTTGCTTCGAAGAATACGATAGAGTTCTCAGGACACCATGAACATCACTATGCAAATGCCTTGACAAATGCTCCAAATTTTTCCAACAAAGCATGGAAAGGACAGAACAGACAAGAGGGTAATAACAAAATAATCATCTGGAAAGGACCTAAAAAACACACAGGATCAAAGCAACCATGCTATCGATGTAGGGGAAAACATTCAGCACATGAGTGCAAATTTAAAAGGGAAAAGTGTCATGTTTGTGCAAAAATAGGACACATTGCACATGCTTGTTGAAATTAAAAAAAATCAGCAAACTTAGTATGTTGAAACACAGGATGAATGCTTAAGTAGGAATGATGAAGCTGATCTTTTTGGAGTATATTCAGTCTACTCCATCACCTCCAGTGAAAACGGATACACAGTGAATGTTGCACTGGGAAACAAGAACACCACCATGTTGCTGGTGCAGCTGTGTCGGTGTTATCAGACAAGTATTATCAGACGCATGTCACTCATTTTCCTGTAAAATCAGTCAGTTGGCTAAAACAAAGTCAGTGTCAACCAGTGTATTGAAGAGGAGAGATATCCACTTCCTAATACTGAAGATTTGTTTGCTACTTTAGCTGGAGGAAGATCTTTCATTAAACCTGACATTTTTCATGCCTATCAGCAGCTACAATTAGATGAAGAGTCAGAGAAGTATCTGGTCATCAACACACACAACTGTGTCTATAAGTACAGTCACCTCAGCTATGGTGTTTCCGGTGCTCCTGCTCTTTTCCAGTCTGTGACGGACCAAATCCTTCAAGGGATGGATCATGTGACCTGCTTTTTGGATGACATTCTCATCACTGCTTCATCTAAAAGGAAACATTTGAAGGTTGGAGGAAGTATTCACACATCTGGAGAAGCATAGCATCAGAGTGAAGCCTTCCAAGTGCCATCTTCTTCAGAGCAGTGTGGAGTGCCTGAGAGATCATATCGAGAAAGATGGACTGCATTCTTTAGAGCAGCGGTCCCCAACCCTCGGGCCTTGGACCAGTACCGGTCCGTGAGTCGTTTGGTACCGGGCCGCGAGAGTTGAGGCTCAGGTGTGAAATGTATAGTTTTCAGGGTTTTTATCGGTTTTCAGCGTTATTTTGTTATCGTTTTTATCGTTAACTCGGTTTTCCTGGGTCTTTTCACGTGTGTTATGAATAAATCTTCTTTTTTTCAGTACCGGTACTAGTTTTATTTTGTTGTATTTATCCGCGACACCTTAAAGGCCGGTCCGTGAAAATATTGTCGGGCATAAACCGGTCCGTGGCGCAAAAAAGGTTGGGGACCTGCTTTAGAGAAAAAGTAGCAGTTCTGGTGCACCAGAATCAACAAATGTCACTGAACTGAAGTCTTTCTTGGGTCTTCTAAATTACTCCAGTGAATTTCTGGAAAATCCACCCACGATTCTTCAACCTTTGCATAACCTGTTGAGAAAAACATGCTAAATGGTTTTGGACCATGGAATGTGCAAAGGCATTTAAAAATGCAAAAAGTCTACTGCTGCAAAACAAAATGTTGGTGCATTACAGCACAAATCTGCCATTGAAGTTAGTTTGTGATGCATCACCCTACGGCGGTGGGAAAGATAAAGCACTTAAGCCTTATTTTGTACGCAGACAACAGCTGTCAGCAGAAAAAAGATTTATTCTTTGGGGACAAAAAGTCATCATTCCACCAATACTGGAAAACCTGCATCATGAACATCATGAAAGATCTCAGCAGAGAGCTCAGCACAAATCCTTAAATGATCCCTGATGAGTAAGGAAAAAGTTGGTTACTGTTATGCTCTGCTGTTTAAAATAAAACATGTATCCATGTCCTTCCTTCCTGATCACTTCTACTAGTCTAACCAAGAATATTACACTATGTTTTGGTCTTTGGTGTTTCTGTGAGCTCATCTTAATGACTGCAGGCCAGGTTTGATCACATTAACCTACTTATTTGCTTCTGCTTGCTAAATGAAATTCCTGCAGTAGTTTTCCTGTTTTATTGATAGGTTTGTGATGCCATCATGCTATCAGGGTGGTAAAGGAAAGGATATTCCATAAGTGGCTTTAAGGTTTCTCTCATTACTGTCTGCTGACCAGAGTAAATATAAAGTGCTTTAAAAAGTATCTGCCCTTTTCCTGACTTCTCAGTGTTTTGAATATTTGTCACAACTAAATATTTAAGATCAAACAAATTTAACATTAGTCAAACATTGTGGTGGTTGTGTGATGGTCTGGCTGCTTTGCTGCTCCAGGATGACTTGTGAATTCTGCTCTATATCAGTGCGATGGACCGAGTTGAAAAAGCAGGAGTCGTCACAGGAATTCTAAGAAAAAGAGGGTTTTCATTTATTTAACCAGAAATATTATATTAACAAACAATAGATGTTGAGCTCATAAAAGAGGTCAAAGAAACAAAACTAAACTCAGGCAAAGAAATGTGAAGTTAAACTCAACGACTGCCCAAACAAACATACGGACATAAAACAAGAAATGAAATACAAGGGTAATGGCTGATCAGACCACTATGACACAACACACAACTAAACAAAAACCAATCGAAAACAACAAAAACAATGGAGCACAGTCCAGTCTGTTAATAAACTAAACACCAAAGAAGAAAATCAAAACCACTAAACCTAAACTCAAATATTTAGTTAAATACAAAGGCTTTTTTTTTTTTTTAATGAAAGAAAATACACATTCTTCCCCCTTCAGCAGAAAGTGGTGGTGTGGTCCAACCATCCCCTCTTTGTATATAACTGCTTTAAACCCTGGCCACAATCTTTTTTTCTGGCAGCTCCCAGGAATGATGGCAGGTAAGAAACAGGTAAAAGAAATAGATCAGTCACAAATAAAACAAAAGTAATGGAATGTTATGAATACATAAGTAAAATAAATGTGCGCGCTTACAAATAGAACCAAGGTATTTAAACCAATCAACAATCTTAGTGCAAACTTAAGTGTGTTGTTTTAAATGAAAAAATAAAGAATACATAAGAGTTACCGACTTTTAGAGTGTGACCATGGGTTTGGCCATCACAATCAGTAAATCCTAAAGGACAATGTCTGGCCATCATTTCGTGCCCCAAAGCTCAAGCACATTTGGATTGTGCAATGGGACAGTCATCCAAAGCACACCAGCAAGTCCACCTCTGAATGGTCATAAAATAACAAAAGGTAAGTTTTGGAGTGGTCCAGTCAAAGTCCAGACTTAAATCAGACTGAGATGCTGTGGTACAATCTTAAACAGGCCGTTCATAGTCGAAAACCCTCCAATGTGTCTGAATTAAAATAACACTGCATTGAAGAATGGGTCAAAATTCCTCTGCAGTTATGTGACTCATTGCCAGTTATCAAAAATGCATGACTGAGTTTATTCTTGCTGCCACTCTGCTCATTATTTAAATACCAAAAACGAAAATCGTTGGTAATTATTATCACTGCTGTCTCCTGGTAGAAACAGGAGTGATACACCTGCTGTTGTCAGACCTGCAGATATCAGGCTGTGAATTTCTCCTTTATAGTGGACAGAAAGTACTTTTTTGCAGTGGCACAAATTATTTGTGTGGCATCTTACTGAATGCAGAACAGTGGATTGTTCTGTAAATAGTTTGAAATGATTATTTAAAAAGTCAAGGTAAAAGTTAAATGGATGCAAATAACTTTGTTGTTTGCAAAACTTGTGCATAAACCAGATGTGGCATCCTCTTGTTCTTAACACCTTGCCCAGCCCACATCAGTATAAATATGCAGCATGTTTTTTCCCCTTTGAGACCTGATGTGTTTTCAAATTGTTCCTTTAATTTTTTTTGAGCAGTATATAACAAAACTCTCATATCTTTACAGATTCAACCCGAGTCCAGTCACAGATGGTAAAGCCTACCCCAGTGGTGAGGGGAAGACCAAGAAGGAAGCAAAGCAAAATGCAACAAAAAATGCTCTGGAAAGCCTGTCTAAGCTTGGTCATCGGGACTCAGTGGAATCTGTAAGATAATGTTCATTTTTGCTTGAGAGAAATGAAAACCCAACCTGGGGCAATTGTCTCTCTGATGTATTTCTTGGTATCTTGACAGAGAAACAATGCAGCAGAAGCTTCAGTTCAGACGGTTCCTAGCTCTGAGGACACCAGCTTTACAGAGACAGATTTCAAAAGTCTTGTCAACCGCTATTGTCAGAAAACCAAACGTTCCCATTCATATGTTGAAGTGAAGAAAGATGGCCCGTCTCACGTTCCTCAGTGAGTATACGTCAAACTCTGTCCTTTCAGTTGAATCTTCAGACACCAACACCGGACTGATGTTCAACAATATTAAACTGTCAATGTAATGATCTAAAACATTCCCATTTTTTCACAACACAGTTTTTTCTACAAATTAATAATTGACGACAAGGAATATCCTGTGGGTGAAGGGAATAGCATCAAGGAAGCCCAACAGAAAGCAGCAGAGTTAGCCTGCTCTGCTCTTCAGGAACAGCCAGACTGGGACATCAAGGTATTTTCATATATTTCATCTTAATTAAATGCTTCCCTTTGGAGGAAATATTCATAAAATAAAGGATTTTGCTGTGTGTTTTAGGTGTCCATCAGGCCAACAGCATCAGAAGATGGTGCTCCACCTGAATCATTAGCCTCATCAGTTACACAGTAAGCACTTACTGACACCAGCACTATATTATAACTATATAAAAGGAGCATAGCATGCTAACAATGCCCCTCTTCTTCTCCCTAAGGGAGTCCATTGAGTCCTCATTGCAGGGCCTGACTACAGACCAGGTTTGTCATTTCTCATAATATTTAGTAAAAACTATGATACTGAAAGATTAAACGACATTTATAAAAGCCTACTAAATTTAAAAAAAAAAAAAAAAAAGAAATGCGACACTAGTGAGTATCATTAATCTTCTCTCATAAGTGGAAAGATGCGAAGTTGATGTTATATTCAGAGTCAGGACTTTTCCACATTTAAAATCTATAAAATATCTTCACTTTATTCCCTAACAATGCTGTTGAAAATGAGAGCATTGAAAACAATACAAGGAACACATCAAGCGAGTCAAGGTATGAAAAGCCTTTGGTGCAAGGCTTTAATATAAATGATGTACAATCATGTGCAAGACACTGCTTTTCACCTTCATGCCTAATCAACTTTGTATTTGCCTACAGATTTTTATCAGACTTCAACTCTATAGAGATAAATAAAGATGCGAGTGACATCAATCATAGGTGCAGAGACACTGTTCTAGCGGACACTTTATTTTTGGTGAGAGACATATGGAAGCAGAACTTTAGTATGATTTCCCCGGTAAGTAAATAGTCTACGTGATATTTGCATGTATGTGTTAGTTTTAAGTTAAGAGACTCTTATAGCGTCTCACTAATATAGAAGTAACCCATACGTGACTAAGAAAGTAACACATATAAAGAATTATTCTGCAAGCCATACAGAGATATTCTCCACGGGATCATGGTTAATAGACTACTGATGTGGCTACTGCTGCTTTAAGATCAGTGAGTCTCAGAGATTCTATGTAGGTGTGAGAAGTATTAGCCTAAACAACTTTGTATTTGCCTGCAGATTTTTATCAGACTTCAACTCTATAGAGCATCTCTTGCTGCAATACTAGGCCGGATTGTTAACTTTACTCCTGTTGTAGGTCTCATCATTGTTGCTGATGTGACCTACAACAGTTGTGTCATCTGCAAATTTGATGAATAGGTTGGATCTATGTGATGGTGTGCAGTCGTGCATCAGCAGAGTGAAGAGAAGGGGCCTCACCACACATCCTTAAGGAACCCCAGTGTTCAGTGTTTTAGTGCTGGAAGTGTTGCTGCCGACCCGTACTGTCTGCTGTCTTCCTGTCAGGAAACCCAGCAGCCAGTTACACAGCGAGGTGGTGATGCCCAGCAGATCCAGTTTGTGAATGAGTTTATGGGGAATGGTCGTGTTGAATGCTGAACTGAAGTCTATGAACAGCATTGTAATGTATGAGTCTTTAGTGTCCAGATGTGTGAGGGCTGAGTGAAGGGCAGATGAAATTGCATCATCGGTCGAGCGGTTTGACCGGTATGCGAACTGGTATGGATCCAGGTTGGGGGGAAGAGAGGTCTTGATTTGAAGCATGAGTAACCTTTCAAAGCACTTCATAATGATGGAGGTGAGTGCGACAGGATGGTAGTCGTTAAAGACAACTTCTTTGGTACAGGAATGATGGTGGAGGCTTTGAGGCAACCACAACCTGGCTCAGTGATGTATTAAAGACATCTGTGAGATCCACAGCGCAGTCTCTCAGTGCTTGTCCAGGGATGTTACCAGGACCAGGGGCTTTGTGGGTATTGATCCCACCAAGGGATCTCCTCATACTGTCTGGGGATAGTGTCACCACCCAGTTGTTGGAGGGGGAGTCTTCTGTGCAGGGGCGGAGAGAGAGTCTTCTGTGCAGGGGTGTAGCTCTGTGCCTCAAAGCGAGTGAAGAATTGGTTTAGTTTTGCCTAACTAGAACATGCTTGAGAGAAATGAAAAACCAACCTGGGGCAATTGTCTCTCTGATGTATTTCTTGGTATCTTGACAGAGAAACAATGCAGCAGAAGCTTCAGTTCAGACGGTTCCTAGCTCTGAGGACACCAGCTTTACAGAGACAGATTTCAAAAGTCTTGTCAACCGCTATTGTCAGAAAACCAAACGTTCCCATTCATATGTTGAAGTGAAGAAAGATGGCCCGTCTCACGTTCCTCAGTGAGTATACGTCAAACTCTGTCCTTTCAGTTGAATCTTCAGACACCAACACCGGACTGATGTTCAACAATATTAAACTGTCAATGTAATGATCTAAAACATTCCCATTTTTTCACAACACAGTTTTTTCTACAAATTAATAATTGACGACAAGGAATATCCTGTGGGTGAAGGGAATAGCATCAAGGAAGCCCAACAGAAAGCAGCAGAGTTAGCCTGCTCTGCTCTTCAGGAACAGCCAGACTGGGACATCAAGGTATTTTCATATATTTCATCTTAATTAAATGCTTCCCTTTGGAGGAAATATGCATAAAATAAAGGATTTTGCTGTGTGTTTTAGGTGTCCATCAGGCCAACAGCATCAGAAGATGGTGCTCCACCTGAATCATTAGCCTCATCAGTTACACAGTAAGCACTTACTGACACCAGCACTATATTATAACTATATAAAAGGAGCATAGCATGCTAACAATGCCCCTCTTCTTCTCCCTAAGGGAGTCCATTGAGTCCTCATTGCAGGGCCTGACTACAGACCAGGTTTGTCATTTCTCATAATATTTAGTAAAAACTATGACACTGAAAGATTAAACGACATTTATAAAACCTACTAAATTTAAAAAAAAAAAAAAAAAAGAAATGCGACACTAGTGAGTATCATTAATCTTCTCTCATAAGTGGAAAGATGCGAAGTTGATGTTATATTCAGAGTCAGGACTTTTCCACATTTAAAATCTATAAAATATCTTCACTTTATTCCCTAACAATGCTGTTGAAAATGAGAGCATTGAAAACAATACAAGGAACACATCAAGCGAGTCAAGGTATGAAAAGCCTTTGGTGCAAGGCTTTAATATAAATGATGTACAATCATGTGCAAGACACTGCTTTTCACCTTCATGCCTAAACAACTTTGTATTTGCCTGCAGATTTTTATCAGACTTCAACTCTATAGAGCATCTCTTGCTGCAATACTAGGCCGGATTGTTAACTTTACTCCTGTTGTAGGTCTCATCATTGTTGCTGATGTGACCTACAACAGTTGTGTCATCTGCAAATTTGATGAATAGGTTGGATCTATGTGATGGTGTGCAGTCGTGCATCAGCAGAGTGAAGAGAAGGGGCCTCACCACACATCCTTAAGGAACCCCAGTGTTCAGTGTTTTAGTGCTGGAAGTGTTGCTGCCGACCCGTACTGTCTGCTGTCTTCCTGTCAGGAAACCCAGCAGCCAGTTACACAGCGAGGTGGTGATGCCCAGCAGATCCAGTTTGTGAATGAGTTTATGGGGAATGGTCGTGTTGAATGCTGAACTGAAGTCTATGAACAGCATTGTAATGTATGAGTCTTTAGTGTCCAGATGTGTGAGGGCTGAGTGAAGGGCAGATGAAATTGCATCATCGGTCGAGCGGTTTGACCGGTATGCGAACTGGTATGGATCCAGGTTGGGGGGAAGAGAGGTCTTGATTTGAAGCATGAGTAACCTTTCAAAGCACTTCATAATGATGGAGGTGAGTGCGACAGGATGGTAGTCGTTAAAGACAACTTCTTTGGTACAGGAATGATGGTGGAGGCTTTGAGGCAACCACAACCTGGCTCAGTGATGTATTAAAGACATCTGTGAGATCCACAGCGCAGTCTCTCAGTGCTTGTCCAGGGATGTTACCAGGACCAGGGGCTTTGTGGGTATTGATCCCGCCAAGGGATCTCCTCATACTGTCTGGGGATAGTGTCACCACCCAGTTGTTGGAGGGGGGAGTCTTCTGTGCAGGGGCGGAGAGAGAGTCTTCTGTGCAGGGGTGTAGCTCTGTGCCTCAAAGCGAGTGAAGAATTGGTTTAGTTTTGCCTAACTAGAACATGCTTGAGAGAAATGAAAAACCAACCTGGGGCAATTGTCTCTCTGATGTATTTCTTGGTATCTTGACAGAGAAACAATGCAGCAGAAGCTTCAGTTCAGACGGTTCCTAGCTCTGAGGACACCAGCTTTACAGAGACAGATTTCAAAAGTCTTGTCAACCGCTATTGTCAGAAAACCAAACGTTCCCATTCATATGTTGAAGTGAAGAAAGATGGCCCGTCTCACGTTCCTCAGTGAGTATACGTCAAACTCTGTCCTTTCAGTTGAATCTTCAGACACCAACACCGGACTGATGTTCAACAATATTAAACTGTCAATGTAATGATCTAAAACATTCCCATTTTTTCACAACACAGTTTTTTCTACAAATTAAAAATTGACGACAAGGAATATCCTGTGGGTGAAGGGAATAGCATCAAGGAAGCCCAACAGAAAGCAGCAGAGTTAGCCTGCTCTGCTCTTCAGGAACAGCCAGACTGGGACATCAAGGTATTTTCATATATTTCATCTTAATTAAATGCTTCCCTTTGGAGGAAATATGCATAAAATAAAGGATTTTGCTGTGTGTTTTAGGTGTCCATCAGGCCAACAGCATCAGAAGATGGTGCTCCACCTGAATCATTAGCCTCATCAGTTACACAGTAAGCACTTACTGACACCAGCACTATATTATAACTATATAAAAATCCTTGCAGCACTGTGTACAGTGCAGGCTATGAAGTAATTGTATCATCTTCTTCTAGGAACAACAGTGAATCATCTTCACAAAACACCAGATTTGGCCTGACGTCAAAAGGCAGAGGTTCCTCGAAGAGTTTTCAGTGACTTTTACCAAAGAGGTAAATTACCATATTCATACTGTGCTTAAATTTCGACAGGATGGTCATCAGCAGAGTAGTGATAAAACTTAGATTAATTGGTTTACTCAGTTATAAAAGGTCCTCTTTGATTGCTGAGTTGTCTGGACACAACATATGCATTTTTTAAAATATATTTATTATTTATCAGAGGTTTCACTGCACAAGACATTACACATACACTGTGTTTTTTCTTGTTTTTAAACAGAAGCAAATTATTAACTCATTGCTGTCTGAGAAACCAGAAGACCGACCTGATGCCAGCGCCGTAAAGGAAAAGCTTGAAGAGTGGACTCAGATATTCAGCACACAAAAAGCATCTCGCCAGGAAAATCAAACTGTCTGATAGTCACAAGAGAAAAGTTTCAAAAGTCACAGGAGCCTTTGCAAATCTGTCTTCTTGCATCTGCTTAATGAAATGATTTGATGTACTGTGTAATATTATGTTGGGTAACTGTTAATGTGCAAAGTTAATATATGGAAGAGGTCACATCATGAATCCCAGCTATTTTGGGGAAGTTTGTATTGGATTTGGAAATGAAATGTGAAATCATGATTTTAAAATCTAACTATTCAAATCAGTTTCCCGGTGAAGGTCGTCACTTTGTAACTGTTGTTAACCTGCTGCTGTCCTGAGGAGGAGGAACTGTGATGCTACGTGTACTTCTGATGGATTCATGTTGAATGTCAGAGATAAAAAAGCACACTCCATGTGGCTCAATTTTAGAAACTTTCCTAAATGTTTTCAATCATTTTTAACCCATGAAATACAGTTTAACACATTTTTCTTCCATTTTTTCTTTTGTTTATTTTAATCTGATTGATTGCAATATCAGTCAGCTATGTGTGACTTGAAACAGCAGGAGAAAGGTCATTAATACTGTACTAGAGGGAATAAAATAATGAAGGGGTGTATAAGAAACTGAACTGGTAAATGTCTCTCATTTAGCTCTGATTTTTCTTGCAGAAGCACTTGGTATATAATAATTAGTGTTGGGCAAGTTACTTTGAAAAAGTAATTAATTATAGTTACTAGTTACTTCTTCAAAAAGTAACTGAGTTAGTAACTGAGTTACAATATTCTAAAAGTAATTAATTACTTGAAAAGTAACTATTGCGTTACTTTAAAAAACATTTAACCCTCTGGGGTCCAGGGTATAATTGGCCATTTTTAACTACTTTTGATTTTCCCTCCACATTTTACCTTTAAAAACTATTTACTTTGCCTTGTTTGGTATCATCTTTTCAGCACAACCTCACGTGTCTGAATTTACAGTTATGTTTTCATTTTGACATACTGTATTAACACAATTGATCTAAAATCAGACAAAAAACATAAAATCAGAGTAGAAAAAGTTATATTTTTTACTGTAACAACCACAAACATGTTTAATGAATCATATTTCATAACTTTAAATGCAAATATAAATTGTCAATTTTAAAATCC